TTTGGAAGGAAAGAAAACTAGAATTAAGATGAAAACATTACAAGGAAAATGGAGGATTTAGGTTGCCAGAATGGGCATTGTATTATCAAGCATCTGTCTTAACATGGTGAAAAAATGGATAATGCTTAGAAATAAAAGGTTGTTATATCTGGAGGGGCATGACTTACAATTGGGGTGGCACACTTTCTTATGGTATGGGAAAAATAGAGTTCATATTTCCAAAATCACTATATAAGAAATCCTTTGTTAATAGTATGGGAAAAAAATTAAAGCTAAAATATATTTAAAAATTCCAGGGTGGTTATCAACTATGGAAGCATTTGTACATCCAAACATGGTAGACTTTGAAAAAATTTGGACATATAGTGATATTTTAAATATTGATGGGAATTTAAAATCTAAACAAGAACTGGAAAATCAGGGTATCAACTTGTGGTGAGCACACTTACAAATACAAAATAGATATGAAAAAGAAATGAAACTGTATGGATTTTATAAAGAACAAACTGTATTTGATAAGATTTTGTTAACCGCAGATGAAAAATTAATTAAGAAAATGTATAATTTTTTGTTAATTTTGAAATGGAAAGTGAACAAGTTAAAGAAACAATGATAAGATGGGTGAAAAACTTTGGTTATAATATAGAACTAGAAAAGTGGCAAAAGCTATGGGAGAGAAATTATAAACTGACAATATCAACTTTATATAAAGAAAATTTCCAAAGGCGAACTCATATTAAGAGAATCTATGGGGTGCTAGTAGAACTGGATTCAGAACCAGAACTAATTAAAGAATGTATGATTAAATGGGCACAAAATTTTGGTGAACCAGTTCTACTAGATACCTGGGAAACCATCTGGGTGAGGAATGTTAAATTTACACAAGCCCAGAACTTAAGGGAGAATTTTTACAAAATGTTTTATAGATGGCACCTTGATCCACAAAAAATGTCTCGTATGTATCCTGACTTACAGCCTAAATGTTGGAGATGTGGTTGTTTGGATGCTACTTATTATCATATTTGGTGGTCGTGTAAAAATATAAAAGCTTTTTGGATTAAGATATGGTGGAATATTCAAAGAATTTTTAGAAGGAGGGTAAAATTTACCCCACAATTGTTTTTGTTGGGTATCGTTACTGATTGTGATGTTAAGGAGGTTATACTGATGTTAAATTTAATTACAGCCGCAAGGTTGTTAGTAGGGCAATACTGGAAGAAGGAATCTTTGCCTACCTTGCAAGAATGGTTTTTTAAAGTTTCTTATTTGGCGGAAATGGCAAAGATTTCGGCTTTTTTAAAGGATCAATCGCAAGAGAAGTTTTTTGCGGTATGGGAAAAATGGATAGATTTTATACAACATAAGTTGGATATAAAAAAATATTACTTAGTTTTTCAATAACTTATATATAAATCTTAATATTTTATAGATTGTATTTTTTTTCTTCTCTTTTCTTATATTTCTTATTTTTATTTTATCTTATTTTACTTCTATATATATATATATATATATATATATATATACATCTTTTCTTCTTTCTTTTCTCTTTTATTCTTTTTCTTTTTAAGCATTTTTCTTTTTTAATATTTATGCTTTTCTTTTTTACATATATATTATTGTTAATTATCTTATAAGCTTATGTAATGTATTTAGATATATTTATGGTTTATACTTTTTTAATTTCTTTTTAAGATTTTTAGAAATTTTAATTAAGCCTATATTCAGCTCTGGGAAGGTTGGGGGGATGGAGTGGGAGGGTTGGGGTGGTTGGGTAGGGTTGTTTTTTGTTTTTTATCTTTTCTTTTCTCTATTTGTAAAAATTTTAAAAATTTTCAATAAAAAAAAAAGAAAATTTATATAAAATATTTTATAGATGGCACATGCCACCAGCAAGATTAGCAAAAATGTTTAAAAATATGTCAGATAGATGTTGGAAATGTAAGCGTAACTCAGGCATGTATTATCATGTTTGGTGGACATGTGACAAAGCAAAGACTTATTGGAAAAAGATACATACTTGGTTAGAAAAGATATTGGAAGAACATGTGGATTTTAAACCTGAACTTTTTAAATTATGCATAATGCCAGAAAAGATTAACAAACAAAGTCTATATTTGATTCTACACATCACAACAGCAGCAAGAATAATATTCATGCAATATTGGAAAAATGAAGGATTAATACCAGAGGAAAAAATAATAATAAAAAATACTGGAATGCACAGAGATAGACAGATTAACCATGAGATTTAAAGATAAAGAAGAAACAGAACATTATCAAACTTGGGACTTATTTTACTAATGGCTAGAGTAAAGAATGAAGGACTAGGAATTGAATATGTACTAGCTTTTTTAAACCCAGACAGCACGTTGGTTGAAAAATTAATATACAGTATGTATATAAGAGAAAATCAATAAAATCTTTATTTAAAAAACTTAGAAGACCCACCACAAGCTTTCTCTTAAGCAAGTCAGATGGATGCAATACTTCAAAAGATTTGACTTTGAGTTAAAATATATTCCGGGGGGGGGGGAGAATTTCATTGTGTTGCCCTGTCACACATGTCCCAGTACATGAGCATTCAGGAAGAGGTGATGAGCTCCATCATTCCCAACAGACAACAAGTGGCACAAGCTAAATGAGGTGGAAAGAGAAGAAGAGGGGCTCACCTCTCACCTATGCATTTGCTCAACAACTGAGGCAGGAGCTACAAACCAATGCATGGTTTGTGACTCATCAAAGAGAGTTAACCATGAGGGATGAGTTGGCGTGGAAGGAGGACAAATTGTATGTCCCAGACACCAGGCAGCCAGTGACTGCAAGTCTTGCAACGTAGCCACGATACCAAGCAAGCGGACCACTTTGGATTCCTAAAGATGTTGCATCTTGCTAATCATCAGTTCTGGTGACTAAAGATGAAGAAAGACATTGATAGTTGTGTGAGGAGTTGTGCAGTTTATGCAGCCAGTAAGAGACTATGGGAAGAGTCCAGGACTGTTGTAGCAGGTGGACGATCCGACCAGTCCCTAGGAGAAGATAGCCATGGACTTTATAGTGGAGCTACCAGAGAGTAGAGATCTATTTTCCAAGCAAGCCCACTTCATCACATGTGCTGGACTACCCTCCTCCCAGAAGCTAGTGAAGATGTTTTTGCAGCATATCTACCGGCTGTATGGAGTGCCTAAGCGCATCATTTCAGATCATGGGATCCACTTTACTGCTAAGTTCCGGAGGAAGTTTGTAAGGGTGATTGAGTCCTCCCAGGGACTCAGTTCAGCTTTTCATCTGAATCTGAATGGAGCTGTAGAACGAACTAATGCAATGGTGAAGCAGTACCTGCATTGTTATGTCAACTATCAGCAAACTAATTGGGCAGGACTCCTGCCATTTGTGGAGGTGGAGTATAACAATGCAGTGCACAGCAGCACTGGTTTCACTCCATTTAAACTAGCCATAGAGTAGAGTTCATGTCAATGCCAGAATGCCCTCAGGAGCCTTCCTCCTTTGGCACCCTAACTGACTGGATAGATTTGTTCCAACGGGTTTGGAGTGATGCAAAGAAAGCTTTAGCTAAACTGGCCAAGAATCAGAAAAAACAAGCAGATAAGAAGCAAGCTCCCCAGGGAGCGCTCCATATAGAAAATAAAGTGTATCTGTCTACTAAGTATCTTAAATTGAGACAAATTTGCAAATAGTTAGGGCTGAAGTACATAGGCCCTTTCCCCATCATAAAAGTCATTAATCCAGTGACAGTAGAGCTTAAACTGCCAAGGATATTGGGTAAAGTGCACCCAGTATTCCATTGCAGTTTACTGAAGCCATAATGGGGATCTACAATGAGACCAGTACAGAAGGCAATCCTGGCCCCAATAATGGTAGAGGGGTAAACGCATTATGAGGTCAAACAAATCCTCGATTCCAGAATCCACAGAGGGAAATTGCAGTCCTTAATCCAGTGGGAAGGGTATCCAATGTCAGAAGCTACATGGGTAAACGCTTATCATGTAAAAGCAGATTTTTTTTTTTTGGTAAAGTGATTACATGCTAAGTACCCCGGAAGCCAGGGCCAGTACAAGGAAAAGATTAACAAACAATAATGAGTATTTTTTCCAGGTTCCCTCATCTCTATAGGGGGCAACCTGTCAAGCTATGAATATTTATTATTATTAGGACTGCCATATTGCTTCTAGCTTGCCTACAGTTGTGAGGGGGGAAGGGAGAACTTGGGATCCATAGGTGTTCCCTATTAGTGTGAGAGCCAAGGCCGCCAAAGAGATGTTTTGGTGAACCAAAGTTTTCTTCTCATAACAATTGCTAGAAGATTAATTGGACAATGTGACCTGAACTGTGAGAGAGGGAGGGAGAGTTCCATTATTTTAATTATCTGTTTCCTGCCATATTGCCAGAGCTAGCTTTCCTTCTATCACACCAGTATGCTATGCCTAATAAAGTTTACACTAAAGATCACCGTGTCTCCGGTATTTTACTTTGTTAGGCTTTTCAGCCGGAACTTAACACTTACGTCAATTATCTTGATGCAAATGAATTGCCTTAAAACTAGTGCATAACATCTTTTGCATAACATCTGTCTAGTATTTTATTATGGAAAACTGTGTACATTTATAATACATTTTAGCCCAACAGTGTAGATTGTTCTTTTTATTAAATTACTCCTTCCACTCATACTAATATTTCTGAGATAAGAGAAGACATTTTATTATGAAAACTACTTTGCAAATTAAATGACATTATGTGCAAAAGCGTTACCTTATTCATAACAATTCTCTAGGCTTTTTATTTTATCTAATCTAAAATTAAGTTAAATATAAAAAACATAATGCCTGTTGTGTTTTCATTGTTGACAACCAATAAAAAAACAAGACAACAAGGTATTGTAAGAATAAAGCTATAGCTTTATAGATAAGTTTCCATAAAGATCAGACTCTTATTCAACTGTGATGTTGAAGAAGATAAAAAAACAAAACCATATTTTAACTGACCTGTTTTTCATTTTCATCCTCCAGCTTCAGCCTGTCTTCTATGTAGTTCCTGGCCTGAAGGAAGGCCTTTCTCTGCGCCCTCTCTGTCAATATCCTTACAAAGACCCCATATAAGTTTACACTGACAAAAAGGATAGCATTGGCCATAAGCTGCAAAGGGAAAATAAAAAAGAGAAGGGACAAAAAAAAATGTTATAATACAGGCACTTTTAAGGCATCATGGCATCACTACATCACTGTAATTCTATATAAAATCCTGCTAACTTTACTTGATTATTTTGATATTTAAACCTCGTTTGCTATTCTCAATATTTGTTCAGTCATTAGGGTTTCCAACTGTCAGGAGTCGCAGGTTTAACAGATCTGCCATCACAAATCTTTAAATTGCAAATGTGCCAACCTCCAGCTTGGATATCCAAATAAAGTCCAAGATTACTTTCATTGCTGAAAAACGTATTGGTTTATTCAATACATGGCATGATATAGGTGAAGGAAAACCAACTCTAAAATCCCAAGGCATCTAACCATAGCATATAACAATGACATTCCTAGCCCAACACCCCAGATGTCTACACAGCTCATGTGAACAAATTCTCTTTGTTATGAGAACTATCTTTATCTTCTCCACACCTACTAGAACGTCCTTGAAAGGTTTCCAAGCAGCCTTCTCTCAGCAAACACCCAAAGAACTGGAAAGGTTTCATTTCTCTAACTAACCCAGTTGAAAGCATCATCCCCCCCCCCGCTTACTCAAATGGCAAGATGAAAACAAAGAGGCACATAGCTGAAAAACTTTCACTCTTGACATGCTGCCCCCTCGACAGAAAAATGGACCTTGAAAAATATTAAAATAAACATATACATACATGGATTACTATTTCATTGTCAATTTCCCTTTTTTTACTAGGGTCAGTTAGGACATTTTGAATGGAATTTCCTTAGCCTAACTGCTCTAACATTTGTAGTTGTCACCCATTGTGCCTCAGCTAAGGGGTATCCTTTCCATTTTATTTGATACTGATACAATATCTAGAATCTAAGATCTCTTCGATTCCATAATCCCTTTCTCCCTCACTAAAATTGGAAGCGGAGGTTGGGTTCCAATTGGTCTCAATCTTGAACTTTGAAAAGACTTCACCAAGCTACAATAACACTGGAAGTATCCATTTAAACCCCTTGGTAACGGTAACTTCACTGTAACTGTGTTGATAATCTCTATGGTAGTAAAAGGACCTATATATTTCAGCCCTAGTTTTCTATTCAGTACTCTTAAATTCAGATATTTTGTGGATAAATATTACATTATCTCCTACTTTAAATACTTTTTGGGTGGCTCTTTTCTTATCTGCTTGTTTATTATTGTTATTATTATTTTGTGCCTATTCCAAAGCTGTTAGAGAATTTTAATTTTCTCTATTGGTGAAAAATAAATCAGAAGCTCTCACAGTTGACTGCATTTAGCTGATTCAAATAATTTTATATTTATATAAAAATACAATACCATTCTTCTTTACAGCAACATAGCTCAATTGAAGACTTCTTACAGAGACAGACCAGAGATAAACCTGAGACTGGAAATCCAGCTCCTAACTCAATACTCTTTTGCACAGACTCAGTAGCACTTTCTTCACATTGGCTGACTGAGTTACCACATGACTCTTCCTGTTCATGAATATTCTAACACTCCTCCCTTCATGACAGGAAGAGACATCAGACCTATTGATGTAACACATTTTCCATAGTGAACATTACCCAGTGGTTTAGTCATCATGTCTGCCAAATTATCCTCAGAAGAACAAGGATGTAAACTAATCAATTTTCCTTTTACAGCTTCCCTGACATTACAATACTTAATGTCTACATGTTTACTTCTGTTCTTCACCCTGTCACCAGTTGCCATTTTTATACAGGCAGCATTGTCTTCAAATACCTTTACAGATTCTTTTACATTAATATTTAAATCTTGCAACAACTCTACATACCCTGTAACTTCAGAACACAATTCAGATAAAGCAATAAACTCTGCTTCCGCTGTTGAAATAGCAACAGTTGTTTGTTTTCTGGACTTCCATCAAATCAGAGTTCCTCCAAACAATATTATAATCCCAGAATTTGATTTCCTTGTGTTTATGTCATTTGCATAGTCACTATTGACATAACACTTTAATTTCAATTCCTCAGTAATCTGTATTTGAAGACCCAAATTTATAGTTCCCTTTAAATATCTGAGAACCCTTTTTACACCCATTCAATGTAACTTTGTAGGTGCAGCAGTAAAACGACTCAAAATGCTTACTGCGCAAGCTATGTCTGGTCTGGACCACTGTGACAGATATAACAAACTCCCTATTGCTGAGTGATATATCTCTTGATCACAGGTTTCACCTTTGTCCACACTTAAACTATTATAAAAATCCACACTCATGGGTGTGGGAGCAGTATTGCAATCTTTCATATTATATTTCTCCAATAACTGCTCAATTTTTCTCCTTTGACTGAGAATATAACCACCTTTTTCATTTTTCTGTATCTCTACACCAAGATAATTTTTTATTTCTCCCAAATTCTTTAATTCAAATTTCTTTCCTAATTTATCAGCAAATTCTCTGACTTGTGATGCATCCTTTGTGATGAAGCAAAGATCATCCACAAATGATAACAGTAGACAATTCCCTCTTTGTAACTGTCCAGTATATATACAATTATCAGCTTTGCAACTTTTAAATCCAAGATCCTTTAAAGCAGTATCTAAACAGACATTCCAGTTTCTGGCTGACCGCTTAAGCCTTGTTTAATTTATATACCATGTTAGGTTTTTGCAATTTGTGCTTGGATCATATAAATTTCTTCCTCTAACTCAGCATTGAGGAATGCGGTTGTGATATCAAAGTGCCAGATTTTATGCTTATATGCCGCTGCCAACACCAGTGCTAATCTTATACTCTCACTTTTCACAGTTGGCGCAAATACTTCATCATAGTGCACATTCTTTAATTGTGAAAAACCTTGTGCCACTAACCTGGCCTTATACTGTAAATCAGAGGTTCTCAACCTGTGGGTCGGGACCCCATTTGGGGTCGAACGACCATTTCACGGGGGTCGCCAAACAATGCAGCCCGCCATTTTTCCCCCTTTTCCTTAGCTGTGCTACTCCCTTTTATTCTATTGGCTTTTGAAAGCCAATAGAATAGACTCTCTTGAATAGAGTCTAATTCTATTGGCTTTCAAAAACCAATAGGAATTGTCCAGGCTGTCTCTGCCCTGCTGAGCCCGCCAAAAGTCCCATTCTGCAAACGGTGCTGCACCAGTTGAGTAGTCCTAGACTTACGAACGGTTGGGGGTCGCGGTATTAAAAAGGTTGAGAACCACTGCTGTACATCATTATTTGGCAATACCTTTTTCTTATATACTCACTTACAACCCATAGCTTTGGTTCCCTGGGGAAAAGTCACTGATTTAAATACTTCATGGTCTCCCATGGATTTCATCTCTTTATCCATGGCCTCCTTCCATCTTTCTTGTTCAGCTTTTGGTAACTTCTTGGCTCATACCACACATTGCAAACCTTTTCCTTGTTGACAGAATACCTGTCAGGCAGAATTCCTTTATTACATCGCTCTGACCTACATGGTATTAACTGCTCCTGTGTCTCAAGTCTTTCTGGCTTCATGTCTTGTTCAGCCTCTCCTCCCTGAACATTGACATCTTCTGTAATCATTTTTTCATCATTAGATGAGTTATTGTCACTAAACAGAACACCGTCATTAAGTGAGACATACCCAGAATTTGCATTAATTCTGTCCCAATTTTGTTCTGCAAAATTAGCAGACCTTGAAATTACAATTCTTTTACTTCCATCGCTAAAGCGATATCCTTTTGACCCTGGCTCATAGCCCACAAACCTGAGCTTTCTTGCCTTTTGCTGTCCCTTTCTTCTGATTACTTTCGGAATATGTACCCATGCAGTACTTTCAAAAATTCTCAAATGTGCCAGTGATGGCTTTCTGCCATATTGAATGGCATATGGAGTATTATTAATGGAGGAACTCCACAGCCTGTTAACTATACAATTGGCAGTCAATATGGCTTCTCCCCAATATGACCTGCCCATACCAGAATCCTCCAATAATGAATCTTTCATTGTTTGCAAAACACCATTCCTTCTTTCAGCTACACCATTCTCTGCTGCTGTGTAAGGATTTGTACGTCTGTGTCTTATCCCCAACTGCCCCAACCATTGTTGGAATTTAGTTGACATAAATTCAGTACCTCTGTCAGTTTGCAACTGACACACTTGTTGTCTGTACCTTCTCTCTACAAAACTTACCCACTGTTTGAATTGTTGTAGCACCTCTGTCTTTGCTCTAAGCAAGTAGCAAAACGAATATCTGCTATAATCATCAACAATTACCAGTGCAAACTGGCTTGCATAGGTCCCACCAGATCTGCATGGACCAGCTCTAAAACTCTTTTTGTTTGTCTTGTGCTACATTTACTAACTGGGAATGCCTTTGACTTCGATGCTTTGCATACTGCCCAGTCCAAATATGTTTTGCATCCCTTCAAATTTAGCCCTTTTGCAAAATCTTGCATTTGCTGCAAAACTTTAAAGCTTGCATGGCCAAGTCTTCTATGCAGAAGATGAACACATGAATCGTGCTCTGCAACATTCTTAAATATATGGGAACATTGAACCTTTTGTCCCTGCAATACATATAGATTATCTTCCTTTATGCCTTCTGCACAAATATTCCCATTCCTTTTGATGAAAAACTTCCCATTTACAAAAATGATCTCAAAACCTTGTTTGTCTAAATTAGACACACTTAACAAATTATGTTCCATCTCAGGTACACAAAGCACATTGGTAAACTTTGATTACAAATATGGAATTTTTACATAGCCTCTTCCGATGACTTTTGCTTTCTGGCCATTTGCCAAAGCCACAGCTTCTTGTGCTACTGGAACAAACCTGCAAAATAATTCAGAGTCATTAACAATTGTTTGACTTGCCCCACTATCTATTATCTATTTGTCTTTGTTGTTGCTATAGCAAACTTTTGCAACACCAAAATGTTCCTTTTGCAAAGCAGTCCTTTTTGGTTGCACAAATGTCTTTTTCTGCAAATTGTTCCTCTGCAAATAGTTCA